CTCAGCCCCAGCTGGAGGTGCCAGGGAGCAGGAATGTCACAGCACTGCCTCCCACAGCCCAAAGCCCCCACACCCCTGGCCAGTGCAGAGTGCCCCGACCCCAAGGGAAGCTGCAGGAGCCACCCAGCCCCACTGACACCAGTATGGCCAGTGCCAGGAACACAGCTGGCCTGGAGCACAGCTGCTCTTCCCGTGCTCTGTGCCCCAAAGGGTCTCTAAGCTTCAGGCCTGTTCAGGGGGCCTTTGTCCATAGAGAAGGAGAAGGTGCACCCACGGCCCACGCAGGGGCTCCCTCTGCCACTGCCACCAGCCCTGGCCCACACAGGAAACACCAAGGGCTGTCTGGAAGTAAGAGCTGTGGCTAAAGCCAAACCAAGGCCTGAGCCAGAACTCTGTCCCCACACGAGATGGGACACGGGAGACCCCAGAGCCCCCACAAAGCAAACACAGGCGCTCCCAGCTGCCGGGCTCCCGCCTGACTCACCGCTGTCCTCTGCCCGCATCTGCGCCTCCAGGTCCTTGGGGTCCACGTACTTGTAGGACTCATCCTCCTTGGGCTGGCAGCACGTCCCACAGCAGAAGAAGCAGCAGCAGCAGCAGCAGCAGCAGGTGAGGGCCCCGCAGCACAGCACCAGTGCCTGCATCAGGGACAGACGTGCTGTGAGCCCACCCGAGCCCCTGAGCCATCACACCAGTCCTGAGAGCCCAGTCCAACACCAGCCTGGCAGCAGGGCAAAGCCCTGAGCTCACCCAGCCCACCAGACCCACCAGGCAGCCCCAGGGACACCGGGCTCACCTGGAACCACCACTTGGACATGAGGAAGTAGTGCCGGACAGCATCGTCGCCGAACTGCTCGGCCACGTAGAGGCCGAGGGAGCCGTACTGGTCGTACAGGCGGCGCTTGTCCACATCGCTGAGCGTGGCGTGGGCGCTGTTGATCTCCTTGAAGCGCTCGGCAGCCGCTGGATCATCGGGGTTCTTGTCGGGGTGGTACTTGAGGGCCAGCTTCCTGCGGGTGCAGTGGGGGGACCTCTGGCATGGGCTCAC